CATATAAATAATCCAAGGTTAAATCATATATCTCTTTATTCTGCGTCATGGAAGGGCAAAAAAGAACACATTTGCATTTATTGTAAGTAAGGATAAACATGTAATCTATGATTGTAATAAAGAAGTAAGGTATGCAATCTTATTACACATAATAAATGAGCATTAAAAAGTGTATCGAATTTTTCTCCTTCTAGTTATTCTGTATTGTAAGCAACTGTTAAAAGCGGTGTGATTCCTCTTCGTATTGAGTTCTGTGGATTTTTATTTATATACCTAAGGCACAATTATGGTATATAAATAAGTTAGAGCTTTACACTATTATATGATTCCATAGGAGGATTAGTGACCGTTGTGAAAACAAACGGAAATAAGGAAAATAAGCAATGACTCATATTCAGCTGTTTTTATGTTGGAATTGGCTTCGTTTTTATGTTAAATTTCGCTTCGCTAGCTACTTCGCTATAAAATTCGTTAAGTTGTGCTGATTTAACAAAAATGTTAATTTGTCATATACTCAAAATATTAGCGACTAGCGACTCAATCCCATTTTCACCCCCTTAAGGGATGATTTCCGAGATAAAAAGTATCCTATGTCCTTCCCAGGGTCTCAAACTATCTTCTTACCAAATTTTATCTAAATCGGTGCAGTAAATCCAGAGATTGCCCCCTACAACGTCACAAACTCACAAACTTTACCTGTTTATAATATTAGTATAGATAAAATTACTGTGCGCTTTTGCAATAATCACTGTGTGCGAGGAAGTTTTTTGATTTTTTTTACATGAGTGAGAGAAAAGAAACGTGAGGGTGCCAACAAAACATGTATCTACTCGTACATGACTCATGATAGTTCGCTCATAAATAAACAAATCCAGCGTTACAGCTAAATTATATGTAAGTAAAGACGTCACGTGGAACAGACTGTGATTATTGATTTAATTGTTTTGCTTTATTGTATTTAATTGATTTAATTATTAGATTTATTATTATTATTAAATTTCATCTCTTGGTGGAGTGATTGGGGTCGACTTTTATTCCAAATAAATCTGAGGCGCACGGCAGTACCTACCTATCTAATTGGTTAAAAAAAAAAAAACAAATTTTAGTGACCGTGTCAATATTAGATATCTTTATTTCTTTAATAAATAGAATGACCTTGTCATCGGACGGAAAAATAATGACAAGAATAATCTACTATTTTAAAAGTCTTAATTGAACATAGCGTTAGTGGATCTTTATGCAAACATAAATAATGCGCTCATAAAGTTAATATATATTATGTAAATTTTGTTATTTGTACAAAAAATACCTAATATATGTAGAGTCTACAAATTTTTAAATTGCCGTGTCCGATGGCCAAGTCATTTTACTTATTAAAGAAATAAAGATAGATACCTATCTAATATGAAACGGTCACTATAATATGTTGCTGTTTAACTAATTAGGTAACAATTTATGACAAAGTTTTTTGGATAGATAAATAATCCATAAATAAGAATAAATTAACCGACTTGGTATTACAATTTGATCTCACAACTTTTTGCGGTAGAAGAACTGCGTTGCGAGAATAGCATTTTTTGTGTTTTGTTTATGATGGAATTAAAGTTATAGATAAAAATGCCAAATAACAATTTTTTACAGTAGGTACCTACTTTGTTTTTAATTTTATCGTACTAAAATTAATTTATTTTTCATTTTCCATCTCATAGGTCTCACTTTTATTAAATATTTACGATTTGATACAATAGATATAATTTTGATACATTTTATTATTATGAGTTGAAGTGCTATTGTTTGACTTAGATATAAGTTACAGGTCTGGAGTTATAGCGCTAGAGTATTGAGTAGAGGTACCATAGGTATTATACAATACAAACAAAATTGTACACTCCAATGAAAAATTTTCTCCCCTTTGTAAGTCAATTATAATACTACTATTATCATGAAGGTTTGATCAAAATCGAGCATTTAGGAGTCGAGATTATTATTACCAACTTAAGTAAAGTAAACAATATACATGGCAAAAAATAATAATAATTGTGTTAAATACGGTTTTCTGTATATAACCATTTCTAGATTTCGTGTTGATAAAATATTAAAGCGCCAGATTTAAAAAGCAAGCAACGTAATGAGCTACATTGAAATCAGCGCTCGATATCAGCTGGTCGCGTGTACAAAATGGATTTGCCGCAAGCACCGGCAAGGCGCCAACCGCTGGTTCCGCAAACGTAGTACATATATTTAACATTATTACGATAAAAAGAAAATCTTAACGAACACACTGTTGTGTAACAACATCGGATATTGATCATTAATCTTGATTTTATAACTAGCAGCTCACTCTCGCTTCGCTCGGGTTCGCCTCTAGAAATTCAAAAACAAATCTATCCCTTGGGAACCGTATATTTTTCAGGGATAAAAAGTAGCCTATGTATTATTCCAAACTATAATCTATCTCCGCGCCAAATTTTATCTAGATCCGTTTAGCCGTTCTGGCGTGAAAGAGTAGAGTAGAGTTTAATATTTATAATATTTATACAAACTAGCGACTCACCCTCGCTTCGCTCGGGTTCGTCCCTAGTTACGTTTTAACGTTAGATTTCTCAGAGATGAGATATTTTCCTGCAGTAAAAAGTATCCTATATATTGACTATAGGATAACCAGCTATCATCATAACAAATTTCATCAAAATCTGTCCAGTGGTTTTCTCGTGATGCGGTCACACACAGGCACAAAATTTTTTAAAACATAGATTCGGCCTCTATCTATGTCGATAGCAATGACTATTTCAATAAGATTTTCCAAGAAAAATTTCATGTACAGATTCGACTAGTTAGAATTTTAATATATGTGTATAGATTAACTAAAGCTAAAGTATATTACATAAAAAATGTTCAATGTTTGATAAATCTGGGAAAATGTGTTATCAATTTTTATATTTAAATATATTATTATATAAATATCAATTATTATATAAATATATACGTATACAAATTGTATTATATTGTATTTTAAAGTGGAAATTTAAAACAGAATATGTCGTATTGTACATAACATAGATTTTAACATATTAAATGACTTAAGCATTTATTGTGCGAATCCCAGCTTTTAGCGAACTGCGTCTGAAAGCTTAACATGCTCTAGGCTAAAACGTAATCATTTCAGTTGTTTGCAGACCGTAGCCGGGAATGGATGTTCCCGGATCCCGTTTTATTTTTGTAGTGCGAAAGTAACTTCGTGACTTGCGCTCTTGTGATCAGTATTAAATATATTCATTTCCGTACGTTTTCTATGTGTATCTGTGTGACCTAAAAAGTTTGTGGTTCTTTTCAAATTATATAATAATAAAGTTAGTGTATATTATATTAATAAACTTTATAAAATCGTGATTCGTTTGTAGATTTAAGTATTATCGTTTTTTTCTTTTTTTTTCTTTTGTAATAATAATAGCGCGTATAATATATTAAAGAAAATAAATTATAAAAAAAAAGTATCTCGTTTTGAAGGTTTTCTAGAGCTTACAGTAAAGTCCAACTTATGTAACTTTACGCAATGCAGGTTTGATTACGATTAAATTGAGACACATTACGGCAAAACTATTATTTTTCGATACTATTAGTAGATAGCTAGTATTGTAAACTTTTAGTACAGATCTAGACAGGATAGGAGAAGTGTTTGACCTACTTTCACGTGAAACACGTCACAAAATTAGAAATTTTATATATTTATGTATTACCACTTAAAACATAAGGGAAAATATTACGTAGATGTTTTTTAATTAAATAGCAGGTAATTACTTAAACCAACAATATAGATCAAAGACTATTATCATAATTTTGAAATGCAATCTTGTATGGATCCCTAAGTACATTGTGTCTGCCAACTTGCACTAGGCGCCAGCAATATGATCGGTCGACCTGTAATTTGCTACGTCAATAATGCGGAGAGTATTGCAAATAGATTGTGTTTTGTCGGGTACTATGATTAAAGGGAGTTTAATACACAAATGTTTATATATTACGTGTAACACTGGGTAGTATTAGAAATTAGAATGTAGATATAAATGAAAATAGAATTAGTTAGAAATAAAAAAATTAAGTTCATATAGTGAGGTATTTATTCATATTATAAATAAAAAAAAACCTTTATATAAATAATAACCTTTATATAAATACTAAGTCTCATATTATGTACTTAGTGATTACAAATATACATAATTATTATCCTTTGCTTGAGAATTTTAGACATACTTCCTAAGTGCATGCAACCTATATTCACGTGTAATAAAATATCGCTGCGCTTCTAACTGTAGTAGCTTTTACTTACAGGGAACAAAGTATCAGTTACATATAAAAGAAAAATAAAGCTGTATGAAATGACATATTTGTATATTAAAAAAAATTAATATTTCAGATATGAAAATGCATTTCCATCTTGAATGATTTTCTTCTAATCATGCGTGAACTTATGTAAATAAATTGAGAATATAGAATTGTATGATAAATAACAAAAATAATTTACAAAGATGTGCAAGAGTGTGAAAAGCTTAAACTGGGAAACCGAGACCCTTATGGGGTCTCCGGCACCACCAGTGTCTAAATGGGAAAGGTTTATTCCAAGAGCTGCTCTCTCTCATTTGGGATTATACGTGGCGTTAACTTTGTATACGGCTGGAGGAGGTTTGGTGAGTATAATGTTATTTTTACTATTTTTCTAAGAATAACTAAAGAACAACACAATTTTTTTGTTTAAAGATGACTTTTTAACTTAGAGAGAAACTACGTAAAATAGTGTTAAGGAATAATGTAGCCTAGGATTTTACTGCAAACTTAAAATGAAGCACGGTGACGCTCCTGCTAAATAAACATTAAAGTTACAGTACCTCGCAGATCATAAGCATTATTCTGACCTGAGCCCTCTCGTATTGAAGGCAGGCCCGTACCCAGGGGTGGGACGCTCAAAAGGGCAAATTACAATAAGAATTAAAATTAAAATATTAGAAATCTTCAAATTCTTCTTCATATAAATTTATAGGGTTTTCCTTTACTTTCTCTTCATTATAGTTTTCAAAGTATGAAGTATCACTGGGTGACCGTATTTTAGGTACAAATGGTGGAGGCAGACGACTATTCAATAGTTTATCCCAATCTATTTCGCGAAACCAGTTGTGATTTTTAAAATCTAGCACGCCATTTTTGAGATTTCCCAAACGTCGTGTTATATCTATTTGAAGAACGCGAGATATCAGGTCTTTTAATTCTGGTGAAAAGTGATTCGGACATCTGTATTTACCTGATACGATTTTTTCGTAAATTCTCATAGGATCAGATGCGTAAAAAGGTGGGTGACCGGCGCTCATTTCAAATAAGAGAATTCCTAAGGACCACCAGTCAACAGACATACCATAACCTTTGCTTAAAATAATTTCTGGTGCTAAATATTCAGGAGTACCGCAGAGAGTCCAAGTTCTGCCGCGGATTAATTTACAAAATCCAAAATCAGTTATTTTTATGTATCCAGAACTCTCTATAAGTATATTCTCTGGTTTCAAATCTCTGTATACTAATTCACAAGCATGTAAATATTCTAATGCTAGGATTACTTGAGCGCCATAAAATCGCGAAGATGTTTCTTCAAATTTTCCTATTTTACGTAAATGTAAAAACATTTCTCCTCCTGCTATATATGGTAGAATATAATACAGATAAACGTTGTCTTTAAAAAAATATTTCATATAAACACAGAAAGGAAAATTAAGACCACATAGAATTTTTTTTTCATAGTAACTATGTTCAATTTGCTTCAATTTTACTATTTTTTCCTTTTCCAACATTTTCATCGCATAATATTTTCCTGTACCGAGATGTTTTGTTAAATAAACAACACCAAATGCACCTGTACCTAATATTTTTTGCTGCTTAAAATCTCCCAGCTTAGCATTATATTTAGGTTTCTCATTCCAAACATCAATAAAATCTTTGTGTAATTTTTTAAGATACTGATTATACTGTTCTTGACGTGCATTAGAGTAGCCTCCTGAGTAAGGTAAGCTTATATATCTTTTGGCGTCATCGGCCATATTAGTGGTTTCCTGTATTGAAATCAGTTTGAGAGATTATTTATTTACACTGTTCAAATGAAATAATCCAATAACAAAATTCTAATGAGAAAATCTTCATTAAATGACATTTAAATTATTTTTTCATGAAGAAGTTTAAAATTTTGACAATAGAATTCAACGACAGTTTAGAGAAGTAGTATTAATTAATAATAAAATATTTTAAAAATCCACAAAAAACATTATTATCAAATAATAAACGTTTACGGTCATTGACATTTAGTTGATTTATATAATATTCATACATATGTCATAATAAATATTTAATAAAATGACTTTTATAGATTTATATCGTTATTTACATATTATTACTATTTTGATTTTTATAAACGTTTTATAGAATATGTATTCTAAATAAATAAAATCAATATATGGCTAGACCGACTTTTACTCGGCAAAATCATCAGGACCACCGCCGTTATTTGGATATGTTAAAGAGTGAATTTTTAAAAAGATACGAAGATCCTCCTCCACCTGAAAAATCTCCAACAGATTATGATAGTATAAAAGCTATTGGTAACGGAGCATACGGAGAAGTCTTTTTAGTGAGAGATAAATGTACATTCACTTATCACGCTATGAAAGTCGTTTCAAAAAAAGTTGTCGTTGATCGAAAACATGTAAAACATTTAATATTAGAAAAAAAAATACTTCAAGCTGTTCAATTTCCATTTTTAGTATCTTTAGATGAAGCATTCAAAGATAATTTATATCTTTACTTTATACTACCATACATTGCTGGGGGTGAATTATTTACATATATACAAAAATATGGTAATTTTTCAGATTCTCTTTCAAAATTTTACGCTAGTCAGGTAACGTTGGCCTTAGAGTATCTACATCATTGTGATATCGTCCACAGAGACATTAAGCCCGAGAATATTCTTCTTGATATAAATGGATATATCAAGCTATGTGATTTTGGTTTCTGTAAAATTCTTAAAAAAAAGACATGGACTTTATGTGGTACTCCAGAATATTTAGCTCCGGAAGTAATTATGTCAAAAGGTTATTCATTCGCTGTGGATTGGTGGGCTCTGGGAGTGTTAATATTCGAAATGGGCTCAGGGTACCCTCCATTTTTTGCTTCAGATCCGAGTAAACTATATGAAAAGATAATAGAAGGCCATTTTAAGTGTCCAGATACTTTAAATTCTGATTGTAAGCAATTAATTAAAAGTTTGCTGCAAGTAGATCCACTAAAGCGCCTGGGATCCCTTAAAAGCGGCGTATATGATATTAAGGGACATTCATGGTTTAATGATATCTGCTGGCAATCTGTATTACATCAAAGGATTCAACCGCCTTTTGTGCCTATCTGCACTTCACCGGGTGATACCAGTAATTTTCCAGAAGTAGAACAAACGAAGCTTAAAAAGAGTTCAAAATGCCAATATGAAGATGAGTTTGAAGATTTTTAATGTGTCATTGTATTTAAGGAAACAACATATAAACATCTTTTGTTATAATAAATAGAATTTGTACATATGTTATGAATTTCTTCATTGATCAATATATATTTTTTTATAATATGATATGATAATAGATTGCTTAATTATTTCAAATTTATATAATAAAGTATATTATGTTTGTATTATCTAAACAAGCAAGTCAAGAAAGGATGGAGAATTGTTAAATTATGTAATAGACAATACTAACAGTTTCGTAGCATATGTATATTCTGTATATATTATCGGCATTTAAAATTTATTTAAAACACTTTCTTATAACTATTTTATAAATGGCTAAACCATCTATCTAATAGAAATAAAAAAAAAACAGATTAGATAGATTTATTTTAATGTAAAAGAAGAATGTATACGAGTATAATCCTGTAATATGCCAAATTGACACCTATCAGCAATTCTCAAAAATTAGAACTATATTTATACTAGTAATATATAATATGATAATTTTAAATGTTTTAATTTTATATTTTGGGAAAATGATATTTGATAGAAAAGATGAAAAAGCTGTACAATACTCTTTCGAGTTACAAGTAAATCATAACCGGTATCTGGACTCGTTAAAACAAGAATTTTTGAAAAGTTATACAAGCACAATTAAATATGATAAATCAGTAGAAGACTTCGATCTTGTAAGAATTATTGGTATTGGATCCTTTGGGACTGTATTCTTAGTTCGTGATAAAACCACTTTCGAGTATCATGCGATGAAAGCTTTAGAGAAAGTTGAAGTTGTAAAAAAGAAAAATATAAAACAACTAAATCTGGAAAAGAAAATCTTACAGAGTATTACTTTTCCATTTTTAATATCTTTAGATTTTTGCTGCAAAGATAATTTATATATTTACCTCATACTACCTTTCGTATCTGGAGGTGAACTATTTACTCTAATTAGAAAAATGGGAAATCTTTCCGAACCGCTGTCACAATTTTACACAGCTCAAATGGTGTTAGCTATAGAGTACTTGCACCATTGCAGCATTGTTCACAGAGATATTAAGCCAGAGAACATATTGATTCATGAATCAGGATTCATAAAACTCGGCGATTTTGGTTTTGGTAAAACAATAAAGAATAGAACTTGGACAATTTGTGGTACACCCGAGTATATCGCACCTGAGATAATTTTATCAAAAGGATATACATATAGTGTAGATTGGTGGTCACTCGGAATTCTTATTTTTGAAATGATAGCAGGCTATCCTCCTTTTTACCACTCGGATACAATGACACTTTATGAAAAAATTCTTTCTGGAGCTTATAAAACCCCTGATTACATGACCCCTACATGTAAATCTTTAATAAGGCATCTTTTGGACGTGGACCCGACTAAGCGCTACGGTTCACTTAAGGCAGGCGTATATGATATTAAAAATCACGTCTGGCTTAGTGAAGTTAACTGGCATATGATACTACATCAGAAAATTTTTCCACCGTTTATACCAGTTTGTAAAAATCTCGGTGATACTAGCAATTTTCCTGAAATTGGTGAAGTAAAACTAAAAAAAGGGAATGAGTGTTTATATGAAAAAGAATTTGAAAACTTTTGAGTAAGAGTTCATAAGAATGCTGTTACCAATCAGAAATGCTGAGCATCAATTAATATATTAAAATTTTATAATTATTATAAACTATATTTTATTTTCCTAACAAGCTACTATATTATTATGATCATAGCGAAATGTTCTAATTAGACGTTATAAAAATAATTCAAGAGAAATTGTATAAACAGAGTGATCTTAAAATATTTAATAATAATTAATCACTAAAAATTTAGATCAAAGTAAAAAAAAAATAAGTTTCAAGTTTTTAAAATTTAACTTTCAAGGGGTTTTTAAAGTCACTTTGTTTATTTTGCTTATTATGAAGAGGTTTATTATTTTGCAACTATTAAAAAATCTTTATCTTTTTCGTGGTATATAGGTATTTCGTGCACTTGAATATCCAGCCGAGATGGCGAAGCAAGAATTTCTTAGAAATCGTTTACTTACGGAAAGATGGAACCTCATACGTGTAGTATCCGATTACAATATGAATGGAACTGAGGAGTTAAGCTTAGAAAAAGTTATAAGTGATCACTTGGCTGTGTACGAAAAGGTAAAAGATAAAAATTTATATATTTTGCCGTAAATTATAATTTATAATAAATCTTATTTATAATATATAATTTAGTTTTGTTAGTCATATTTATAATAATTATAATTTATAATAAATGATAATATAAAAATAAACATGTAATTAAATATTTATTTATAAAAATGTGCTTTTTTAAAAAATCATTCTACAAATATATATACGTATAACTAGCGACTCACTATCGCTTCGCTCGGGTTCGTCCCTAGGTACGAGTACGTTTTAATTATTTGAGCGGAACCCTAATTCTTTTTCTAAAATAAAAGTAGCTTATGTTACTCCCTACAACATCAGCTATCTTCCAGTGAAAGACCCCTCAAAATCAGTCCAGCCGTTTCAGGGATTATTCGGAACAAATAGACAGACAGACAGATAAAAATAAAAAAAGTGTTTTTGTTATAAGTACCGTATATAATTTCATATGCATTAAGTAAAATGCTGTTTTTTTAACATTACAAACAGACACTTCAATTTTATTTATCTGTATAGATAAAAATGACTATTATTTCATTACTTCATACTCTTTATACAGCTTAGCCGCTAAACGGAAATGCTTAGTGTCGAATATAGCTATTACGTTGTAAAGAGTAACATGGCAAAATTTCATTCAAACGTTATAAATCATACTAACATATAATTTCTGTTAATTTAAATAAAACTATCTTTTCGGATTATTTCGCGGATTTATTTTGATTTTTGGTTCCCGACGTTTCGAATGCTTTACAGCGTCCATGGTCACGCTAACGCTCACTGTAAAGCATTCGAAACGTCGGGAACCAAAAATCAAAATAAATTCGCGAAATAATCCGAAAAGATAGTTTTATTTAAAATGTCAAATATTCGCGTAAATCTAAGAAAGTATTAATTTATGTTATATTAGTACCCTAACATGAAAACGGTAATGGAATTAAAATTGTTACAAAGTAAACATTTTCCATTGCATTTATGACTTTACATGAAATTGTGATACGAATATAGAGTTACTACGTTTCTTGCAGATTTTAGAGGATGCATCTGGTAATGGTATAGCTTTAGAAATTGAGAGAAATTTTCCACCAGTAGAAGAAAAATGGAGCGTATTGCAGGCCGTGTTCTTTTCTTCGACAGTTCTCACAACAATAGGTGTGTAAGACCATGTAAGCATACAGCGTATTAGTATGAGTAGTTAATCGAGTAATTAATTTTAATTTATAATGTAAAAATATTACAAAACTTTTTTTATTAATAGTCTATTCGAATATTTGCTTTATGGCAACACATTAATTATATCATTTAATATATTCTAACTGTTTTACTGTTATTAGCTTATTGTTCTTTTGAAAAACATAACAATAAAATATACATTTTATTTACTACATTAAATCAGTATAAATATTTAACTACTCGCAATGGTTTCAGGATATGGCAACATAGTTCCAGAAACATTCTGGGGAAGACTGTTTTGTATTGCATACGCTCTCATTGGAATCCCATTTACGCTTACCGTGATCGCTGATCTCGGAAGAGTGTTTGCAACATTTGTGTCTCTTGTAGCTAAACAATTACCGGCGATGCCAAGTAAGTTTATTCAGGCAATGATTCATATACAGGTTGCGTTAAAACGTGCCGCGTATAAATTTCTGTTTAAAGATATGATAGATTTTGACGACACGTTTGGCTCGGTAGTGAGCCTACTTGCTGTTCCAGCGGTCGCGGGTTCGAGTCTCGCTTGGGGCATTCATTTGTGTGATGAGCACGAATGTTTGTACTCTAGTCATGGGTGTTTATATTTATAATATGTATGTATTTAAAGTTATATATGTGTAGTGTTTCAACAATCTGGTATCTATAACACAAGCCTCGTAGCTTACCATGGAACTGGATGGTGCTTTGTGTTAATGTCCCAACATTTATTATTATTATTATTATTTTTATATTTATTCTGCAAATGGCGACTTAACCTCGCTTCGGATGGTGGTGATGGTGGAAATTTTATTATTAATTATCGTCTATGTGTTAAAGTACTATATATTATTTAGTATACCAGGTAAGTATACCATAAGTATACCATGGGTAGTAGTTTGTGTACTAAAATTCATCCAAACTTGTCAATAAGTTTTAGCGTAAATGAGTAACAATATATACAAGATTCACACAGACACACACACATACACACACTTACAAACTTTCGCATTTATAATAATAGAGTTTTTTTTAATTATTTGTTGTATCTAGAATGGTGTAGTTTATCAGAAACTAATCCTGCTGGTCAAAGATCTCTGTACGCGTTTTGGGCAGTCTGCTTCTTGTTCGTATATTTATCGGCTGGAGCTGGACTGTTTAAGATGTGGGAAGATGATTGGAGTTTCTACGATGGATTCTATTTTTGTTTTATTACTATGACTACTATTGGATTTGGAGATCTTGTTCCGAGTAAGAATCTTCTTTATACACACTTATTCATTTGTCAAGATATAACTAATGTTTGACTTATACTACATTGCTCCGAATACCTGTTTAGTGCATATTATGACCTGGTATTTAGGGTTATAGTGTTAGAGTAGAACTATAGCTCATTACGTTTGCTGTCTATATATCACTAGAGTTAAATATACTCCAATATTAATTGTCATTGAGCATTTCTTCATTTCAGTAGAAATAAATATTTTTTTAAATCTTACCTTAATAATATTAATATTTGTATGTAGGTAAATTAACATTAATTACTTATATTAATTAGAAAGTTATAATTTTCCTTAAAAAATATTTTTCTTTTCCAGAAAGACCGAAGTACATGCTGCTATGTACATTTTATATTTTAATAGGTTTGGCACTCACGTCTACAATTATAGAGCTAGTTCGTAGACAGTACGCTAGATCTTGGCAACAACTACGTGCTCTCTCAGGTCCCCTGGCAGACACATTACGAAGACTTGGCGACGCCGGGCGAGGAGTCGACGTGTCTGCTCTCCATAACGATCTTAGAAAGGTCTTAACAATCGTAAGTAAAATTTTGCTTCGTACGGATTAGTGGCTAAGCCTTGACCTAATAGAACTCTTAAATGCCTATATTATCCTCTAAATGACTTGGATTTATTTTCTCACATATTACTTTTAACTGGTACTGAATTTTTTATGAGCTTTCACCATAACTGGTAAGTATGAAGATGATGACAACGAACCAGCAATATGTAAATAGTTTATATGTATAAATATGTAAATACAAAAAGTATTTATTTAATAGACCAATGCAGATATGCTAAAAGAGGCAATAAAAATGCAATGTTAAATAAAACCATGTAATAAAATTACAATATATTTTATAGAATGAAACGTCATATTGTATACGTGTATATATCTCAATGTATCTACTAAATATTTTATTTACATGAAAAAAAAATATATTTTTGCGATTACTCCTCTGTATAGGTTAAAGTTAAAGTTTATATAATCTTTATTTATAAAGTGATACTCGTAGTTTGAAATGTACAACAAAGTTTAGTTGAGATATAAGAAAATTAATTGAACATTTATTACTGAACGTGAGACACGGAACATATGTTTTATCTACAACAGCTATAAAGTCATGTGTTCTGTACTAATATAATCAACTGTATAATATCAATAAAATATGAAGTAAGTTTATTGAGTGTTCAATGAGTGATTCGGAAGTGATGTTGATGATTCGAGTTCAAAGCGAAATTCGCCGATGAGACCGCAGTAGTACAGAGTACTGCCAACAGACATCCGTCTCGTCGTAAACAACTGAAGTCCCGGCTGTGATAGCCGACTTTTAGATCAATATCAGATTTGTACGTACGTGACAGGAAAATATTTTTTATTATCTGCTATCGCATTTGCCGCTTACATGTAGCTATGTAGATGCAACATGCATATAATCTTAGTTTAATTAAGTCGCTTTCAATAAACAGTATCTTTAAACGCAACTTTAGCGATAACTCATGCGATATTCAATAGATTTAATGATAAATAGCTTCCTTTTGTTAGGTTGTTATTCTAATTTTGTGGTTTCTAATAAACCTTTGTTTGTTTTATTAAAATCAGTGCACAGCTCGAAGACACTACTCTAATCTATTTTTATATTGATCATGGATACGGCCATGCTTGCATAAGTAAAGAATTGGGTCGTCAAGTGCTTTAATGTCGCAATAGCCACCCTTTTAGTTTTAGTACCCAATAAAATACGTCAAATAGCACTATAATGGCTATTAAAAAGACCGGTATTTTTTTTATTTTTGAAGCTGAATTTTTATTCGTTATCGGAACGAAATTGATATGAACGTTAGACTATTCATGGTCGCTGTAACGAGAAAACCTCTAAAAGTGTATGAACTATAAGACCGAATGTTATGGGATATTTTTATAAGTTTCCGATCTGCTGGTTATAAAACCTCGTGTTGATATAAAAGTGCGTCAATGTTTGGCTGACCTTCGATGAGATCTATGTGGATTACGTGTCAATGTTAGATGGGTATTGCTGCAACCTTTAGAATCGTAGGTTTATAGATAGACGTATGATATAAATATCTGATAGCCAAACCGCATCGTTTTGGGTTCCACATAAATGTTTGTGCGGGTGATATAAAACTAAACTCCCGTTACTTTTTCATATATGAACTAATCTTATATCTGCTAATCGGTTTTAACTTAACGAAGTCAGAACGTGATCGAGGTTTCGAAAACATTTATTGTGTAATTTTTTCCCCTAATGGTTGTAACAAACAGACAAATTTGTTAAATTTGTAAAGTTTGGTCATTTTATATTAATTTGTTAATTTATCCTTTATTCACTAGTTGCTAAAATATCAACTTAACAATAGAAAAACTGCTAGGTAACTGTTGCTAAGTAAAAATACGAGTAAAATCTTTGTATAGCCACAGTAACAAGTAAACAAGAATATTTTGATAAAGAATAGAAATATTTTAAGTTACAATGATGAAATAAATTATTTTTATATATTTGTAATAATATTAAAATAAATTGTTCCATTTATATATAAATCAAATTTAACCAGCTCGTTTTGGTGTTTTATGCGTTAATCGTGTCATTAATTTAGTTTACAAAAAAGCTGATATTAGTTTATATGTGACATGGAGGGTAATAAAGTCTACGTAGAGGTAAGTAAGGGTCGTCGTGCGTCATTGATTTAGGGCAGCTTTATATGCGGTTCCTATAAATTTTATTTTTTTGCTTTTGTAGGAAATTGGCAGCAGACTCAAATGATTTTTATCCTAATCTGGGAAGCCTTTATTTTGTATAAATTTTCCTTTATTACGTTTATGGTATATTATTTACACTCTACTTTTAAAATGCAGAGTACATAAGTACTACCTTATAATATATATAATAATAATTTAAACGGTCTTTCCTTGGAATATGTACATTCATATTGCACAATAATCGATAATTTATTTTTGGATAATCGTACAAATCCCAATAATATTTATCTGTTTTAGGTTACGATGCCGAGATTGGGTGGACGCGACGGGCTCGGGGAAAAGCGTCAGCTGGAGTGGGAGGCAGCGGTCGAGGCTGTCATTAGAGATATAACAAGCCCTGTAACAAGCCAACCGAAACCACCTATAGTACAAATCGTTATATACGAGTCATCCGTATAGGTATTAGTTCAATATATTTTGCTAAAAGCATATTATGAAATGTATGCGAAGTCTTCTAGCCATTACATTTACCACTAGATCTAGAAAATTGAAAATCGCTCACCGCAGCACATTTTGTGATGATGTAACGCGATCGGTGATGTAATAGTTTCAAATTAACTACTTATAAACCACGGCAAAGTTAGCGCTATAAAGAAGTTTGATAGCTTTTTTACAATGAAGCAAATAAATTTAAGCAAACATTTGTTACACGCTGTCAAAACTCTTCTACGAAACAAACTACATATACATACATGCACTTGATGTTCTATTTATAAAGAAATTTCAGGATGAATCGATTTAAATTGAATCATCTCAATCTTAGTTTTCTTTGAATAAATACGGTACAATCGTTTCTGAAAAATAATCTAAATCTAAATGTACTTATATATGTATAGTTTGAGTGAATAAAATAATTATCTTTTAGCTTCTGTGCCTATTTTAAGACATTTGTGCCTATTTTAAAAGATACGTAATAATGCTGGAAGCCTATGAAAGTTAGAATTTAATTGTAATTAGAATGACATTGACATTTAAAATGGACGATGGATAAATTAAGTCTGTTTGCTAATTTGTTACAATTGAAACTGCACAAATTATAATAGTAAAAATCTTTAAAACTTATCATGATTTTATAGACATATTAATCAGATGTTGTAAATTACTTTACCATCATTAATTTCATTTTCATAGTCTTTATTTTATATTTACAATATGGCTGTCTAATCTGCATTTTTTGTATATGTCTATAAAAATAAAGCTTTATCTATTAAAAAACTCATCAAAAAGTCTTCCTTTTAGCGCTTTTATCACAATTTCATATCTATGATGAAGCTCAACAGTCCGCGTGACAATTTAACATTAAGAGGACTTAAAATAAAGGTCAGACGGAATACACAAAATAAAATATATCTAACTTCGCTTATTTATTATGTCTAGATTGTCTAAGCCTTATCTGAATAAGTGTGTTAATATAAAATGCATTGGACATTATTGTTGTCAGTCTGGTGTAGTGTAGTATAATCTTAAATTTGAAAATATAAAAAAATAAGTTTAAATTTATGCTGATAGTCATGATCACATTTCACAATAGTAATATAAGATATGTTAATTTATAATTTTACAATATTATTTGTGTGATTAGGTATATCTTTTTATGTGTCAAAAGACATTTTTATGGCCCGAGAAGATGATGATGTGATGAAATGTATTGTTTTGAATGAAATAAATGTTGCTATTAATGCTGAGTAAACGATTTAAGATTTACATATAACTGAAGTTTTATTGAAAATGTAAAAGAAAATCATTGAAGTTATACCTACTTCTTTTGGCACGCTTGGAAAAAAATATGAGAGTAAAATTTTTACGATGCGAGCGCACACCGACAGCCAAAAAGCGACATGATGAAGTTAGCTGAAAACATGAAATCTTTAACTATTTTTGTTCTCTTACGCCAAAATAGTATAACTACTTACGTGCGTACATAAGCACACGCACACATGTTTTTTTAAATTTTATAATATGATAATCACAAAAAGCGGATATTAGTATTTTTTTTTTCTTTTATATCTTTTATAACTATAAATAGTTTATTTCTTTCTTGAATTCAGACAAACCTTCAGTTCCTTTAAAAAAGTTCTTGGTAATTCCTTGGTGTCTGTAATTTTACTTTGATAACTTTTGAAAATAAAACTATATAGGTACATTTATTGCTTAAAGTAAATCACCACACGATATAATTATAGCTGACACGGTGTTTTTTCCATTCTACGAGACATCGGAAAGTAAACTGCACACGAAATTACTCGCTCGGAGTTTTTGGCCAAAAGTACAATTCTCTTTTCTAAAAAAACAAAAAACTTGAATAAATACAAAAAAAGAACAAAAGAAAAACTTTGTATCCGACCGGGACTCGAACCCGTATACCTGTGATTGTCAATCTCGTGCCTTTGCCGCTTGAGCACAATGCTTACGCCCGACCATATTTTGCGTGAAATAATACGAAAGAAAACCGCATGAAAACTCGAAAACACGCGTTTTCCCAGGCATAAGACTTACCACCCCCACATACCAAATTTCACCGAAATCGTTAGCCATTTCCGAGATCGCCGATATATATATATATATATATATATATATATATATATATATATATATATACAAGAATTGCTCGTTTAAAGGCACGGTAATGTAATGCATAAATATTACCGTGGTATTAGATATCAGCCCGATTAGATGTTTTTTTTATAATTTATAGCTTATTTATTGAGGAAGTTTAAAGGTTGTAAACTTTGGGTCTGAAGCAATGAATTATTATTATACATATATACTTATATTACGCGAGCGGAGCCGCGTGCAAAAACTAGTACTAAAATAAGATGAATATAGAAAATAAAGTAATTTAAATAGATTGAAAATTTTTATCGATTTCTGTAACGAGTTAATAAATTGCATTGCAAACTGCTTCATGGTATGATGGGATACCACGCGATATCACATCCTTAGTTCATCTTTTTATTTTATTGACCAATAAAATATTAGCCACTGTTTATGCAATATCTATTATTTATTGGGTAAACAAGCCGCGCCGGTTGCGTTGAATTTAAGTGGAGAGTAACAGATATAGCTTTATTTATCACAAGTAGTCTATTATATAATATGTTCATTTTTAGCATTCTGCAGTCGAGTAATAAAATTTAAAAAGCTTTCAGTTTTCCATAAAAATTTCCATATCCATTTAACCATTATGGTGTACAATAATATCTATAATAACTACCATAATTTTAAGACATTTTTTGGTATGATGTGCCTACTATGATTTTTATCTATACTAATAATTTAAAGAGGTAAAGTTTGTAAGTTTGTGAGGTTGTACGGGGTAATCTCTGGACCTACTGAACCTATTTAGATGAAATCATCTCGGAAATTATTATCCCCCTTAAGGGATGAAAATGGGGGTAATAATGGTGATGAAAGTTTGTACATATATTTTTGGTTCGATCAATAGTGTACGAGGCTATAATTGCTACTAGTTTCCCAATTTATTCAGTTTAACTTTATTCCATAATAAACAATTAAAAACATATTTTAATTCCTTAGGAAACAAAAACATAATGAAAACTTCTATAAACTCTAAAAACAGTCTAAGTCTATTATTGTCAAGGAATGCTGACTTCCGAAATAAAGAATTTATCTAATTTTGAGTGATTTATTATTAACCTTGATTTCCTCTATTTTTCAATTCATTTTATTTGAACTCAATATAGTTCTTAACTTTGTAAATTAGGTATTATAAATATTACGTTTAAAATTTTTCAAGACTAAGAATTTTTCAGTACCATTCTAAACATACTAAACGTGCCATCCAATAAGGCAATGGTTCCATCGACTGCATACTTCATTGGTTTCTCCTAAGATAACATAAAATAGATGAGTCTACACCGGCTAACAAAATGTTACGGAAAGTATAACGTATGCTATCTACGTAAGGTTGAAAACCATAAGCACTTTAATTATTTTTTTATTATATGGAAGAGCCATGTTAAATAAATGATTGGGCCAACTCAATCGGGAGAGTATCTAGTTGTACATGGCATATGGCTAAATTACTTGGTATAATAACTAAGCCGAATCTGTACATTTTTTTTAAATCTTATTGAAATAGGCATTATTATTGAAATAGAAATAATTGTTAGTGCGGGAAAATATCTCATCTCTAAGAAATCTATACTAAACGTTAAAACGTAAGTAGAGGCGAACCCAAGTGGAGCGAGGGTGAGTCGCTAGTATTATATAAGATTAGTGCTGTAGACATATATACATATATGATATAACACAGAAGAAAATATAAGAAAATAGATTAAGAATTTACGTATACATTAGTGTATATTATTTATTTATGAATAATAAATAATTTAAGTACTTAAATACAGAAAGAAATAAAATACTTAATCTAAGAACTGAGACTGAGATCAACGTACTCAATATGACTAATCAACTGCTGAATTTGGTTCCAAATTGGCAAGTAAACGTAATGTCCTACCAATACAAAAATAACCATTTCTCCAAAAATATAACTTGCCCTGATTTCTTTGTGTTCTTATAAATAAGAGATACGGAGAAACTGACGTTTAGTTAAAATATCCTATAAAGTGTGTCTAAATATACATAAGTTCTATAAGCAGTTTTTGTGCCACGCAGCGTCATGTGTCGTAATTCGTAAGTACCACAGTGCTACAGGCCACGAGTTCAATTTCGCTAGATGGAATTTTGCATTAGCGTATGCTAATTATTCTTATCGTGTATAATAATATGCTGCTACTCAGAGACTATTTCTTCAAATAAAATCCTATTAATATTATAAATGCGAAAGTTTGTGACGATGTATTGTCTGGATGTTTGTTCGGATGTATAGATTGTATGGATGCTTGTTACTCTTTCACACAAAAACTACTGAATGCATTTTAATGAAACTTTATAATAATATAGTTCATACATCATAAAAACACATCTAACTTTTTATCCCGGAAAAATGTACGATTCCCGTGGGATAGATTTGTTTTTGTTTTTCTAAAGGCGAATGAGCCGCTAGTATTTAATGAAAATGATTTACTTTCGATATGAAATATATTGTTCTTTGTTTAGTCATGAATAATTTTAATAAAAGGTAATCTATTCACGCAAACGAGATGTTAATTACCTCTAATAAAGGAAAGACCCCTTTGTAGGAATGTCGTTTAAACACCGGCACTATCCAATTTTGTAGACATTAATATAGATATAGAGCTGCAGTTACGCTTGCTATGTACTGGGTTCACCCAATTTGTAACAAGTGGCAAGTGTAAGTAAATGATTTTCGTACACACATGCATGCCTATTTGCATAAACAAATATACATTTTTATAATCTACATAAATATTTAAATGTGAGCAAATATTTGATAATATAACTAGTATACAGGATTTTTATACCCCATATAAAAGTTGTACATTTTTAATTATATTAGAAAAGGTTTTTGAAAGGAATTAATTATAAAAAAACCTGGTTTTAGAAATATTTGTAAAAAAATATAAAAATGACAAATAAAAAATACTAAAAATTCTTATAATTAACTAATAATAATCCTCTATCATGTTTTCATCGCAAAATCCTACCTAGATCTCTATCTTAAAAAGTCTTTAAATCTAGGAAAAAAACGTTTCCGCGGTGTTTGTACTTCGTAAGTTTTAGGGAAACAAATGTGAATGCCAGAAATGAATTTTTAATGAAATGTTCACTCATCTGGTGAAAAATTTTCACTTTAATATGCACAAATATTTTTGAACCATTTTGAGTGAATTCCAATTATCTTTATCTAATTATAGGTAAGAGGATTTAAAAATAAGATTTTTTATAATTTTATGGATCTGTGGACCATCATCATCATATCCCTTCTTTTAGTTTTACTTATATAACACTTGGAATGATTTTTTAGTTACATTATTGGATGTAAATTCAACATCACTTTTACTAACATCTTGTATATTTTCATTTGAATTATTGCGACAAATCGGATAGGTATGGAAGTTCCATTAACGAATTAGTCTCTAATTCGTTCACGGGAAGATCCTTCAAATCCAAAGCTAGTCTAGTAGCAGGCAGATACTCGCCTTATTTTTGAACGGATCTACTGGAAATTTCACCTTTTTTGAAAATTTAAACTATCCACAAAAACAGCAAAAATGTCCAGAACTTAGTTTAAAAATTTTACTCAATATTTTTGTAAAATTTGATACAAGCTATTTATCGTTGGAATTGAATAAGTAAACTTTTAACTAATGCTACTATTTACAATAGTTGAAATATTGATTTGACAATAGAAAAAAAGATTACTTGATAGAATATTTCTGTTAACACTTTCAGGTTTAAGAAAGCTTCATCAACGTATTTATATAAATTTCTTATAGGATACATGAAAAACGTAAAAATTTGTATTTAATTAAACTAATTAATGTTTATGTAAAAAAACCTTAGCATAAACTAATCACAACAATCAATAAATGATAGAAAAATACAAATGGTTTTGCTATTTAAAAGAGCTAAACTACGCATCTGCATGATTTTAATTTATAATACGATAATTAGTTATTATTGTTATTGAGTTTGAAGCAGTGATGAAATGCATTATATCCATAATTAATTATATTGTTGGACATCCTGTTTAAGGCTCATTACAGACTTACGCGGCTTCTGATCAAAGGGTATCGTGTCAGTTCAGGCAGTAATAGTCAAGTCTTTAAGGCCGTTATATATGTATATGTTAAGGCCCTTGTATATATATTATTAAATACGCAAATATGTTTGTTGGCTTATCTTCCTTTCAAGCAGCAATGGAAATATTAAATTGTTTTCATGCAATAGTGTAACTAGCTAATTTATGTTTTGGTACACTCAGTCAGAAAAACTAGTCTGTTTCTACTAAATATTATCTGTTTGTTGATACTACATACTTTTGAATCTTTTACTAGCCATTCATTCCTAGTCATAATAGTAAAGGTTCAAAGTTATCGTTAAATGAAGCGATTTATTGGGATAGGTTGAGAAACATCAAAGATAAAGTATTTTACCACGAGCTGTTATTGTTTGCAGAAACATTACAAATGTAATAGGAAAGGGAAGTGCCTTACGCATTATTCTAAATTTATTACGGAAGTTTAATTTATTTACGTTTATTTTAACATAAATAGAGAATCTAGACATTTTGTAGGATTGTAACAAATCAGAGCAGTGGTTTGTTTGAAAGCACTTTTGCAGATGTTCATGATATAGTATTTATTTTCTTAATAAAATGATGCTTCGTGGGTGATTAATGAGTAGAAAAATATATATTATTTATTGAATATTTAATAATATTTATTATTTACAAACTGTAAAGAAAATGATTAATAAAGTAATAATGTGGTAGTTACATAATATTAATCGTCAAAAAATTATAAATTTAATATAATTATAGAATATAATAAAAATATTTAGGTCAAGTCTAAAAATTTCATAGGTCATATAGAAGTGAGACATTGCATTGTTTTGAATAATAAAATGTAAATATAGTTAACCCAGTTTACTAATTACTGAGAATAAATGCCTTTTAGACGCGCAACTGCTTCAGGTAAGTTTATTATGTATAATTTTTTCAGGGCTTATTATAATTAAAGTTGTCCACATCATATTATTTAGTAATTATTACTAATGAGTAAATAACACTGTAAGTGTATGTTTTGTCCAAATATCAAATCTGGATATGTTATTAAGCAATTAATTGAAATTGAAGTTAATTTCTCTATTAAATATATAATTAAGAATACTTTAAAAATTGTATATAAAAGGGTTTTAATTAGAGTCGTCTACTTTTTGTGGACAGACAGAACTGTAAACAGCTACAATAATGGTAAAATCGAATATGGAAATTATATATTTTGAAAATGCATTAAAAAAAGTTCAATCTTACTTAAAAATAATAGGAATGCAAATCGACAATGGCGATCTAAAAAGGACAAAGTGGAAGTGCTTGAATCAGAAATCGTTATTTATTTTTAATATGATATGGATAAACACGGACGTTGTGGGTCTATTTGCTTGGTTGATACAGAGCGCGTACACTGGGAAAAGTTTTATAGAACTAACTAACGTAGCGCCTTGTCTTGCTTTGTGCATTCTTGGCGATATTCAGGCATTCTTTCATATGAAACACAGCCGTACGACTCGTAAATTGATACAATCTCTATGTTATCTTCAATCGATGTCTGCTGAAAATGAAAAGGATAAAGATGATATTACCTTTCTTAAAGCTCAGATAAAAATTTTCCATATAGCGGTTAAAAGTCTCACAGTCATAATAGTACTAGGTATTGCACAATTTGGAATCAATCCTTTTGTAATAACTGCTCTACATTACCATAGAACGGGTGAAGTGGTATTATCACAACCATTTATAGTTCTGTATCCCTTTGATCAAACTGATATACGCTATTACTTTTTTGTTTACGTGCATACTATGTGGTCAGGTTGGTATAAAGTGACTTTATCATAGAAGAAAATACTTAAAAATAATTAACTAACAATAAATATTGAAGAAGAAAAATAGACGACACGTTTGGCTCAGTTTGTAGTGACTCTACTTTATGTGTCAGCGGTCGCGGGTTCGAGTCCCGCTGGGGGCATTCATTTGTGTGATAAGCACGAATGTTTGTACTCCAGTCGTGGGTGTTTATATTTATAATATGTATGTATTTAAAGTTATATATGTGTAGTGTATCAACTATCTGGTATTCATAACACAGGCCTCGTAGCTTACCATGGAACTAGATGGTGATGTGTGTTAATGTCCCAACATATATTTTTTTTTTATTGAAGATATAATAAATTATTAAGCCCTTACATACTATAAACATTCCGTAACTAAAACATATGTATACTGTATACCTTGTGTCATATCAGTGCGTTAAAATGGTATAAAATATATACCTGTAGATAGAAAATAAAAATATTTTTGTTTGTCTTTTAAGCTTAGCTACACAATACATATAGAACTAAACTAGCTACTCACCTTCGCTTTGCTCGGGTTCGTCCCTAGGTATGTTTTAACGGTTAGTATACAATAGACTATATATATGTATGTACAATGTACTTACATAGGTAAGTATTTTAAAAAAATAAAAAAATATATATATCCCTTACTTGAGAACTGACTGATTCCCCATTCAAACTTCTACACCCCCTTTCACCCCTTTAAGATATGTTTTTCGCGATAAAAACTATCCCCCATATTATCCCATATTATCTCCATACCAAATTTCATCTCAATCGGTTCAGCGTATTAAGCGTGAAAAGGTGACGGATAGACAGACATATAGAGTTACTTTCGCATTTATTACTAGTATGGATATATAAAGCTGGTTATTTTTGTGTTGCTGGTCTGTCAGCATCGGTTAGAGCTGAACGTTGATAAGTCAGTGAGTCGTGACATTACCTTTAATATATAATAAAAATAGTTATTGCGAGTGTACCTTAGGAGGTAACATATACTATCGTGGACTTTTCTGTAGGCCTTTTTAAGACCTACCATTTTCTAGTACATTGTTTTGATGTATCTCTTTAAGGTTTAGCTAGCGTTAGCCATATAAAACTAAGGGCGACTCGATAGAACTAGTTATTGTTTTTTCCAGCGGTAATGAAAGATTTTCCTGTAGTAAAAGGTATCCTAAATGATGAACCGAATAATAAGAATCACTACATGAAATTTAGTTAAAATAGGTTCTATACTTTTTGCGTGAAACGCTCACATCGATCTCGCTAAGTTACTGTCTTATTATATTATGTATAGATTACACACATCTCTATTTATACTAAAAAATATTTTTGTATTTTAGCGGTAATCGCTGTATTAACATTACTCGCACCTTGTTTCGTATGCTACGCTTGTTCTACATTCATAATTTATCAATTTCACCTTCTCAAAAAGAACATAGAACAAATTATACCATATAAGAATACAGTACACTTAAAAGACGATGAATTCCGAGAAGAGTTTATGGAAATCATTGAACGTCACAGAAGATTGATACAGTAAGTTAATTCAAATGTTAATTGTTTGCTTATTTTATAGTTTTAAGTTTTCACTTCTGTCGGCACTCGGCAGTCCTCATGACTGCTTTTTTTATAGTGTAACTTTTATCTTTGACTAGTCACGCGTTCAGATGACCAAAAACCAAATTCTTAGGCTTTACATATTAGTATACTCTTACATTGCAGTTTTTGTATTTTTTCTCAGAAATGAGATATTTTCCCGCGGTAAAAAGTCCTATATGTTGACCCGGATAACCAGCTATCATCATACTAAATTTCATCAAAATCAGTCCAGTGGTTTTCTCGTGATGCGGTAACAGACAGACAGACAGACAAAAATTCTAAAAACTATAGATTCGGGCTCTGTATCGATAATAATGTCTATTTCAATTAGATTTACCAAAAAATATTTAATGTACAGATTCGACTTACAATTTTATTATATGTATAGATATTATTAACATTTAATGATTTGTAGATGTGTAGATTTAATGGAGATTGTATACACAGAGTCGACTCTATGCAACGTTGTTACGAGCTCAATACTTATTTGCCTCACAGGATTTAATGTAATGGTATGTATAAAATCGTATTTTACTTTGAATATACATATTTTATTAAATTTGAATTTTTAAATCCTAAGTTTTTGATAAACATTACACGTATTATTTTCAGGCTATCAATGATTTAGCTTTAACTATACCGTTCTTATTATTTCTTTTCCTGAGTTTAGCGCAAATATATATCCTATGCTATTACGGTGACACAATTATGATATATGTAAGTAAATTTACCAGTTGGCAGTTACTATAATATAATACAGTAAAATATCATATACAAGTATTTTATTATTAAAAATTCTTGTTTTTCATATTAACATATATTTTTAAAATCTTCCAGAGTTCTAAATTAAGTGATGCTGTATACAACTCCCAATGGTATGGAGCAGAAGCATCCATTGTTAAAGATTTGATGATAGTTGCTGCCAGGTGTGTTATTAATAGCAGGGTGTGCTTTCTAAAATTATCTATGATACCCTAGCGACTTACCCTAGCTTAGCTCGGGGTCGTCCCTAGGTGCTATTTTTAATAATTACTTTTTGGTAACGCCATCTTGTACATTTTTTTTAAACTGGCAGTATTCTATGTATGTATTAGTCCAAGCCATAGATTTTATCTGTGTACTTCTTACTTACATTACAGAGTAACAAACATACACAAACGCAAAATCTTTCGTATTCATAATAGTATTGTGATTATAAGCTATTAATTTAATTAAATTTCTTATGTTACAGAGCTAGAAAACCATGCAAGCTCACTGCTCTTAGATATACCGATATAAACTTTAAAACGTTTACTAAAGTAAGTATGCCACATAATATCATTTAGGTACATTTTAAATTTAAATTATAAATAGTTAATATTATAATTTAAATTTGCTAAAAGTTTAAACAAAAAGTAGATATTTCATAATATATTACTATGAGTTGTATAGTTTATAGCATATTAAATGGTAACCTAGAAGCATGATAATATTTTATTCCAGTGTTGCATCATATACATTATTTATTATAGATTTTTTTACATTAATTATACAGAATATATGTATTATAATATTATAGTATAACTGCCTCGGTGGTGTAGTGGCTAGCATGTACGGCTGCACACTCGGAGGTCCTGGGTTCGAGTCCCGGGTCGGGCCAAGTTTAGTTATTGAGTCTTTCTGTATAGCAAGTCTCAGTAACAGCCCGGAGTTGGGAAGTTGGCGGTGTTTCACCCCCGTGCCTCGGAGAGCACGTAAAGCCGTCGGTCCTGCGTCTTAACTCTCACTGGTCGTGTCCAGCAGTCGTCCCACCGGAGTATGAGAGTGAACGGAATAGAGAGTGCACTTGTGTCTGCGCGTACACTTGTGCACTATAATATCTCCTGCGCAGTTGGCTAGTCTCAATGAGATTGGCCGCCGTGGCCGGAATCGGTCATGAGAACATTATTATTATTATGTATTATAATTTATTTTTCAGATATTAAGTACTTCCTGGTCTTACTTCGCTTTACTATCATCTGTTTATAATCGTGAAAAAAATCAAGAAAACAATTAAGTATACTTTATTATGTAATATTTATTATACATGACATTAGACTAGCGACTCGCTCTAGCTTCTATTGGGTTAATGCCTAGGTTCGTTTTAACTATAAGTATGGAACAGATAAAGAATAGGTATTATGAGTTGTTGTGGGTTGTATCATAAAGTGCTTTCCCGTAAGACTGAGATAATCTCCTGCTGTATCTATCTTCACACAAAAAATCACACCCATCCGTTACTCTGTTTCGACGCGAAAGAAGGACAAACAAACAAAGGCAAAGTCAAACTGTAAATCGTAGAAAGATATAGTGTCAGTCATTTGTAGATTACAAACTGCATTTAAGTGTTTTATATTAATTTTAAGGTTGCGTTCACAATTATAAACTATAAAGTAATAGTAAGTAAGGAAAAAGAAAAATGTGATGTTTACGTTTGTCCTTGATTTTTTTAATTTATTCTCTTCATAAGAACCTTTCTCGGACTTCAACGAATATTTAAAAAATATATAGCCGAATTGGTCCTGCCGTTTCCAAAATCTGCACTGAGCATCACATTTAGCCATTGAGTTTTTTATTTATATGAAGCATATGCCTAGTGCCTACTAAATGATTAACGTTGACAATAATCGCAGAATTTTAATTTATATGGATTGAGGACATAAAAAAGATGACAATGATCTAATAATAGTATTTGTTGATTAGTCTCTTCACAACCATGCGGTAGCTCCTCACAGTTTCACCGCGTGCCAAATACTAAGAATTCTTGACGGAATGCCGTTCAGACGCGAGAGTCATAGACAATAATAAAATAAACATTTCCCATGATCATTGTACGAGGTAGTAAATTTGAGGATTTACAACACACTCAGCTATCTTGAAAGACGAGCACTGTAAACAGTTTGGAAAATGAGTTCTTAATGTAAACGTACCGTGGCAGCGTGTCATTAATCCTGGCTTATGGACGTGCTTACTAATATTACACACTAGCTCTTTTAAGAATATTGATAGCTACAGGCGATGTACAAAGAACTTACTTACGACTAAATTGTTTTAGCAGCTATCTCTTTTCTTGCTAATTAAATTTTTATAGTAAGCAAATTCACAATGATTTAGTTACGTCCTAAATACAATTTAACTTGTACATATCATTGTTTGCACCATAATTTAACATAACATAAATGAAAAATTTCTTTGTGTAATTTCTGAATTCCAATATTCAAGTATGTATTTAAAATTTTAATTCAATTTCTTAAATAAAATAGCAAATTTTATGATATTAAAAATAGTATCCTAAGTATATAGGAAATCAAAATATAATCACAGTAAAACTGATAGGTGTGTATCTGTTATTAGGCTGGGTGTGACTAAATTGCCATAGTCGTATATCATGCGTACGTAACACTAAAGTGTAATTGGAAACTTTAAGAGCATTTTTTTAGATATTTAGATAGTTACATGGAATTTGAAAATTACAAGCAATACTAATACTATACTTTATGAAAGATTGCTATAAGTATTTTTGTTTAAGTAAACTAATGATTCAATATTTTCTAGTTTTCGGTAGCCTGGTGTTCGATTCCCACATAAGGAAAATGATTACAGGCGTTTCGTATTTTTTACAATTTGAAATCATTTTATTTAATCCCTAGGTAAATATTAATATTAGTATATACATTATACATACATAGGTATGTTACTTTCAGGTTATAGTCATCTGTAAAACTAAATTTCATCAAAATCCTAACAGCCGATTCAGCGTAAAAGAGTAACAAACATACACAATACAGACATACAGACACATGCAAACTTTCGCATTTATAATAACAGTCCGATAGTACTAATAATTGGTGCGATAGTTTTATTGGTACATATGATACGATGTCAGCTTGTACTGAAGTGTTTTCACAAAACGTTTAAATTAAGAAAGTTTCTCGACATGTGGCGTATATTTGCTTGCCTTTATATTTTATGCTCCCTTAATTATAGAGTTAACCAGTTTATACTCAGAGACAGCGAGTAATAAACGTTTATTTATTCAGCGAAGTAAATAGCATGGTAAAGTGTAAGTGGCTAAATGATTTATTACGTTGTTTAAATAACAAATTTCGTAAACCTAAGCTTCATTTCCCTCTCAGAGAGTTATTTTTGTTTTGTGTAGAACAGTATTTTTAATTCAAAATTATTCTTATATACATTTATGTATATTTCATATATTTTACATATAACATAAACGTAATATATCGAAATAAATTATAAGAAAAAGTAAGAAGATATACATTATGAAATGTAAATATTTATATATTTATAATTTATATATACAAAATGTCTGTTTCTGGGAAGTAAAATTTAAAATTTTGATAGTGCCGTGTGTTTTGGTACCACGCCTCGAGTGGAGACAAAGGTGCCAGTGAAGGAAGCGAAAATATGACTTCATGTGAGATCAATACAAGAAAATAGCTACTTTTACAGTATGAATTGCCAATATTTTTATTGTTATGATATCTAAGTAAGATGATAGTATACTCGTATATTCAATCGTGTGGTAAATAGATCAACTATTTATGGTATTTATTTTGTATTAGTATATAGTCTCTACATAAATTGTAATATCAAAACTATGATAATTTAAAAGGAATAATGATTTTATATTGAAGGGCAGAAAAATAATATAATAAATATTGGTGAAATACTTAAAATATTTTTATAAAAGTGTATTTATATATTATGTTGGGTTCCTTTTTTTTAAATTTGTTTACTTCCGTTGATCTGTTTTGATAAAGTAAGTTACATATAAAATAAATATTACAAAGAACATAAATATCAAATTTCGAATAATTGGTTTTACGTACATAGGTAGCGTTTATATTTATTTATTTTATGCGTACAACAATATTTTTGTAATCCATATTAATATTATAAATGTGATTGTGTGTTTGTTTGTTTGTTTGTTTATTTATTTGTTTGTTTGTCCTTCTTTCACGTCGAAACGGAGTGACGGATTGGGGTGTTTTTTTGTGCGGGGATAGTTAGAGGGCTGAAGAGTGACATAGGCTACTTTATACCGCGGGAAATTATCTAATTCCTCTAAGAAAACATGTTATAATACAATCCAAAAAAATATTTATAATCAGAATTACTTGAAACTTGGTATTAATGCTCTATACATTTACCAATTAGAACTGAGAATAAGAATACTGAAATTGTTTTATGCATAAAGTTTTATTATTTACTTTAATAATTGAAATATCTTTATATATATAATTCTTCTGTGAGTGTGTATGTCACTGAACTTCTCTCAAACGACTGGACCGATTTTGATGAATTTTTTTGTGTGTGTTCAAGGGGATCTGGGAATGGTTTAGATTCAAAATTTGAATAATAATTTTCATCAAAATGGTCCAGAATGTTTTAGCTTATTAAAAAAAGTTTGAAATTTTCAAATTAAAGACGTGTAGACAGGACAACGTCTGTCGGGTCAGCTAGTATATATATATATATATATATATATATATATATATATATATATATATATATATTGTAAAGTGCTGTATTGTTTTAAAGTACTTCTTTTTAGGTGTAATAAAGGATTAAATAAATAAATAAATTACTTTGATATAAAATAAATTATATTTTGTTTTGTCATTTGTTTTTTTACTTTTATACTTAAGAGGGTGAAAAGGGGGTGGAAGTTTGTATGGGGAATCAATCATTTCACAAGTATGGGATATAAAACTCATCATATTCTATACTAAACGTCAAAACGTACCAAGGAACGAACCCAAGCGAAGCGAGGGTGAGTCACTAGTTTCTCATAATTTTAATAACATACGTAATAATATATTTCTCATTTTTAGCTTAGCCTAAGGACAAAAAAATTGAACTATTATAATTTTGTCATTATTGGCATTATATTATTACATGATTGTCGTTTGACATATAGACTTACGAAAAATGAGGGTATTTTCTTCAATGGTAATTTTTTTAAAAGGGCAGAATTGTCTATTATAGCACTGTTTGACTCGCACACCGAGTTAGCACTCAAATAAAGTGGTATAATAATAATTTGTTAACTGAAAAGTGAAATAAAATATTTAACAATTTACATTTTACAATATTTATTTTATTGACGGCACAAATAATTTTGTATTTGATAGTATTACTATGAAAATCAACTAGCTAATTTTGTATGTATAACAAGTGAGCTGCATCATAAGTTGTTTTAATAGCATTGCCACTTTTGCACTTCACCAGAAGTATGGGAGGAAATATATTGACATTATAACCATATTATAAATTTTTGGCAATTTTGATATTACTTTATCGGTATACGGTCTTAAGTACTATAAAACTCATTTACAAATTAAAAAAATACTAAGATATGCAATAAATCTCTGACTTCAAGGTTGCTATGTGTTTGTGTGTAAATAAATTATTTAAATTATTAACTTGATAATTTTATTATGAATGCAAAAAACCAACGAGCAATTAATATAAGTTATCTTGACTCATATATCTTATCCAAATTATCTTTTGTTTATTTTATTAAATAAGCGCAAAATGACTAGTTTTAACTTAAGTTTTTTTTAGCTATAGTCCACTACGCTGGTCAAGTGCGGGTTGGCAGAGTGCACATGTCTTTCGAAAACTTGTTAGGTTCTTTCAGACATGCAGTTTTCCTCACGATGTTTTCCTTTACCGTAACGCGAGTGATAATCACGATGAAAATGATTCACAGATGAAAATATCAGAAATGCCTGACCCGGATTTGAACCCGCTTCACTCGGCAATCCCGACTTTCCCAAGCGAGCGCATTACCACTGCCTTATATTTTGTACTGATAAGTTTAAATTAAATGTATGTATTTGAGACACATACGTCCATATAAAAGGACGTGTCTCTTGATATATTATTTTGTAAATGCTGGAAGCATATCTATTTTCATAATTTGAAATTTCGAAGCTTATACTCATATACATATATATTGGATATAGCATCCTGATAAATCCCTGCTCT